TGACTGTGAGTAATTGCTTTGTGGCACTCACAGGTATGGCACAGCTGCTGAAACCAAAACTACAGAACCAAAAATCACTCCAGGAAGGAGAGATAGCTGCAGATGACAGACTAGCTAAAGGGGCTGTCAGGCCTCCTTCTCACTCTTGATCCTACATTTGTGAACTGACATGTCACTTTGCACTTCCAGTAGCAGGCAGCCACTTGCCGCATCCCTTCCATAAGCATCTCTTTGGCACTACTACAACTTTTTTGCAGCCATGTGCTTTCAACCCAGAATACTCAACTCTTTCCTTTTCCTATAGCAATAAAATTAAAGGATTCAGCCTAGACACAGTGGGACAATGAGTTCAGAATCACCAATGTGCTGATGATACCACAGACAACCTGTCCACAGCCACACCTATGCGTTTTGACGAAGTTGTAAAGGAAGTCTGGCCAAACGGAATCACAGGGTAAGAAGAGTTTCTGGGAAAATAAGCTCTGTGTGATTTTCTCACAAGGAGCAAATACACCGCTGCTTCTGCAGCTTCCAGAAAAAAAACAGATTCCATTCAAGTAAAAACTTGTAGTCAAATCACAGCAGCTTTCAATAGGTCTAGGAGAATACTGGGCATCTTAGCTTTGCCATAGTCATAGGAATGACTCGGGAGTAAAACAGCCTTAGACCCATGGTTTTTGCTAGAATGATGACAAGACTTCCAGGAAATGATGAGAGGGGGAAACTGCCATAAAAAACCAAAAACAGCCAGGGGAATTTAGCACCAAAAGCCTTGTGAACTTTCATCACATATTATGCACTCAAAACTCACTGAGAGCTTTCCAGCATCCATATGGATATAAAGTAAGAAGAGACTGAAAACTAGATTCAGCAGAAGCACAATAACTGGGTAAAGAATTTCAAAGGGAAGCAGCAAGTTTACACCCTGTATAAATGCCCAATTAATTCAATGTTGGCAGTACTCTTTTGTGGACATAGTCCTTGGTTTTGGTAATTTTTCACATCTGAAAATAGCCATGCTTCCCTCTTTAGTCCTTTCTGGGCTCATGGGAGACTGAAATGAGTCACCAGAGGACCAGCTGAGTCATGCAGCCAAATCTTGGAAAGCAATACAAAATTGGTCATCACATCCACAACTAAAACGTGGATGACGGCAGCACTCCTAGCAACCAACCGTGCATTAGGCAGAAAGGGTTGGAGACCACTGACACTATGAGCCATTAATTGAAGCCAGGCAGAAGAATGCCTTAAATGAAACTAGGACAACACAAAACAAGTGCTGACAAACATGGCTGGAAAGTGGCCCAGTGGAAAAGGAGCTGGGGGTGCTGGTCGACAGCCGGCTGAGGGTGAGCCAGCGTGTGCCCAGGTGGCCAAGAAGGCCAAGGCATCCAGAAATAGTGTGGGCCTAGCAGAACTAGAGAAGTGACTGCCCCCTGTACTTGGCACTGGTGAGGCTGCACCTCAAATCTTATATTCAGTTCTGGGTCCTCACTACAAGAAGGACATTGAGGTGCTGGAATATATCCAGAAAAGGGAAATAGAGCCACTGAAGGATCCAGACAGTAACTCCTATGAGGAGCAGCTGAGGGAGTTGGGGCTGTTTAGTCTGGAGAAGAAGAGGCTCAGGGAAGACCTTATCACTCTCTACAACTACCTGGAAGGAGGCTGTAGCAAGGAGGGGGTCAGTCTCCTCTCCCAGAATACTAGCAATAGGACAAGAGGAAATGGCCTCAAGTTGTGCCAGGGAAGGTTCAGGTTGGACATCAGGAAGAATACTTTCACTGAACAGGTGGTTAAGCATTGGAATGGGCTGCCCAGGGGGGTGGTGGAATCACCATCCCTAGAAGCATTCAAGAAATGTTTGGACACGTCACTTAGTGATGTGGTTTAGTTGACATGTTGGTGTTCATCCAAGGCTGGACTTCATGATCTTAGAGGTCTCTTCCAACCTTAATGACTCTTTGACTGCTGGTTCTGCAACTGACACAAAGCCCTTCTCCATTCAGCTTCCCCATCCCATCCCCATTGCATTAAGAAAAAGGGATGGCCATCTCCATCTTCCAGATCATGGGATATTTCTAGCCCATTTTACAACTTCTATGAACCGAAGTCCCAATTCATTCAATTCCTTTAGAGTATCATCAAATCTTAACAGGACCTATTTTGACATGCAATCTCACTGAGAAGCAAATAACTATGACCTTTTATGAACACAGGTCTGTATTTCATTTTTATGTCTATTATCTTCAGAACAAAAGGAAGTGGGGCAAGTGCTTTTGGGCACAGAAAATGTATTTACCAAGCAGGTTTTTTATGGTGATTACAAAAGTTTAATGAGTGAATTCAGGACAGTGGAGGACTGATAGACCTGTCCTGAGGAGTTGGGCATGCTGTGGGCAGATGCAGTGCATGCTCCCTTGCCCCACACATCACTTGGACAGCACACCACAACCTTGTATTTGGGCACTGAACAAATGATGCTCATCCCGACCAACTCCCCAGCCCTCTCAAACCTGCTGTCGATCAACATGCACCATCATGCATGTTGCTGGCACCTGAATGGGCTAGAAGTGCCAAGTGGGACCTTGGTCCTACAAAACATTACTCTCAGATATGAAAAGATATGTATTTATTCCAGCACCTACAAAATCAGCATCCCGCAACACTAAGCTCACCTTGATCCCCTTTATGGAAATCTGGCAAAAATGGGAAACAAAATGTAGCTGAGTGATCAAACCACTGAGGGCCACAGAAAGCCCTAATATTAACTATTATGGAAATACTCACAAAGGAGACAAACGAGATTTGGCTCTGCAACAAAACAAACAGTTGGTAGATCTCTATGGTAAATGCCTGTTCTCTCTGTGCTGTCATGGAAAAGCAACACTGACCTGCAAGGGCTGGGTCTCATTGCACAGCTGCTCAGGGAAACCTGTCTCGGCACTGCTTGCTGTCACCCTGTGAGCCTCGTGCCACGAGCTACCACTGAGCCAAGCGTGGAGGACTCCGAAGCAGCAGGGGGCTATGGGGACAGCACGTGTGGCAGATCAACAGTGCAAATCCCTCTGTGGCTCACCCAGAAAACCTGCTGGCTGGAGGCTCCCGATGACGCTCCTGCCACCTGCCCCAAGCATCAGCAAATGGTGCTCAGGGACTACCCACGAGACGGCACCAAAGAGGTTTGCATGAAACTGCTCAGAATTTCCCAACTAATGATGTCACTCCTGTTTTGCCTTGGTCCTTCCCTCCAGCTCATCCCTGGGTTACATCAGGGCCATGATGTATTCACCTCTCTGTGCCTCTGCTCCCAGCCCTCTGCACCTTCACTCCTATTTCCTTTGCCAAAAAAAAAAAAAAACAATTGAAAAAAAAAAAAGAGCTGAAAGGTTCAGGTGGGCATCACTGAATGGAAACGAAGAACCCCACAACAAAGTAATGCTTAAGCCTCAAGAAGACAGATGTCAAACAGAAGCAGGTGTAACTGGTGTAAACTGGTGTAAAAACAGGTTTAAGTGAAATTCAAGTACAAAGGTTCAAGAGCTATTAAAGTGCCTAAAATTCATGAGGTTTTGATCCTACAGTTCCTAAAAACTTGTTATTATTTAGTCTTTTAAAGGCTCAGCGGTAGAGACTTCAAGCTGTTCAAATGGAATGATAACTTATTCCACGCTCTGCTGCAGAGGCAGAAAATAAATGTGAAACTGGATCCTGACAGCATCATTAGATCCCAAAATTGACCCTCTTGCTTTCTGCCCTGCCTGCTCCAAAGAGCATGCTATTTCTGGAGGAGTTTTAAAAAATAAAGCCCAAGCAAGCGTTCTCATGTCCTCTCCACTTCCCAAGGCGAAGGCAAGCAGCTCTCTTGAGTGGCCCTCCCATGCACATCACTCTCTGGGTCCTGGCACCAACCACGAGCCGTGCAGCAACCGCAGTGTGCAGCTCAGCACACACGAGCTACAATAAACCTGTCAGACTGTGCAAGACATGAATCATATGGACTGTCACAACAGCAACACAGCGTGTGCAGCCCTGTTAAAACAAACAAACAAACAAACAAACAATCCAAAGACATCCCAAAACACAGATGTAGGTAAACGGCCACTCTCCTGAGGCTGTCAGTACAGTTATGTGACAGGGTTTGCTGGAAAATATCTACCCTCCTGACTTGTGACAATTCAGAAATGCTTCAGAATGGCTGTAGTGAGGTGCCAGGGGAAAGAGACTGACACAGTCTCTTCTCACTGGGACACCGGACCCTGACCAAGTAAATGCCTGGGTTACCTGGGATGCTGGAAGTGAGAGAAAACACCTGTAGCAAAGGCTATTTTCATCGGTCACCGTGGCTGCAGAGGTTGCCCAGGGTCTTTTAGAAAACACATCTCTGAGTGCACTTAGCTGGAGGTGCTGCTTCTCTCACACTGGCAGGGAAGTTACATTGGAGAAACAGCAACACCTTTTCCTGCTTAAGGTTTTCCTGTAGCCCTTGGTACAGCCATGAGACTGAAGTATGGAAATAATGCCACAAGTGAATCTGAGGGGCTTGCATGCTATGTCTGCTCTTCGGGGCAGCCTTCAGAGTGGATGACAGCTCCATCCATGCTTGCAGACCATCAGGACAGGCTGTTTCAACAACGAACCTGTCACCATAACTAGACTTTGGATGCACATATATTTTTCAATTTATTATTGTGATACGGTCAGCAGGGATATGGACCATTTCACCATTCTGTTTTCCCTCTTGCTATTTAATGATCTCACTGTGTAACCTCTCAAGCCACAGTCCTTCAAACATTTGCAGACATGCCTCACCTTCTCGTGCCTCACCAGCCACTGCAAGGCTATGAGCCACGAGATGAATTAGGCAGACAAAAGCAAAGGGAAAAGGTGTAAGGCCAGTCTGTTTGCTTTTCCTGGCAGATTTAGTCTGGAGACTTCAGCTTTTCTAGGTCAAGACAGTGTCTGCATCAGAAGATATTCTATAAAATCTTTATTTAACTGTTCCCCTAGGGCAGCTGGCAAGACCCTCACACTACTGGCATGTGGGCCTGTGTCTCAGTTTAAGCATATGAACTGTCTTAACTGACCACAGCAGGACAACTCACGCACTGAAAGCCCACCACATATGTGGTGGCAGTATCAGGGTATCAGTTATCTTCCCTTGGTTTTTGAAAGGGGGTTTGTGTAGGAAAAAAAAGCAAAAAAACTCCATAAAACTTGGGGATACAATTCAGGTATCCCAGTGATACATCAATCTAAATTAAACCCCTCTCCCGCACTCTCTCTTTAAAAAAGTAAGTACTTTTCTACTGGTGTATAAACTGTAGTCAACTGTAGTTAAGTGCTGTTAACTGATTTCAAAAGAAATCCTATGGAAGGTAAAGTCTCCACAGGAGGGTAAAGTGTCTGGGGTGTGCCCACCTCAGCAGCACACTCTCAGAAATACTATATTTGATTTTCTTGCAGATTTTCCTTTCCCTTCTTTCTCCATGATTAGCAATATGCATAGAAAAATACGCTCTCTGCTCTCGACAGAGTGTTTGCTGCTGCTGCTGCACATTCTCCACCTGGAGTGAAAATTCTCCGTTGTCACGGCAGCCAACGGTGATGTCACAGACTGAGTATTGTGACTTCAGCTGGAAAAGGAGCAGTGGGAGAAGATGAACTCTGAAAACAAAGATATTGTTTTGGTGTAAACAGCCTTCACAGAAAAGAGGGGGAAAAAAAAGAGGGAAGTATATATAAACATATGACAAATACAGTTTTCTCAAAGAAGTATAAATAAACATATGATAAATAAGAGTTTTCTCTAGGCAAATATCTTAAAGGTCCAACTAAGTACTGAAAGACCTGTCATTTTGTTTCTGTTCTGTTAAGAAATGGGACCCTTTTAACTTTTGAAACAAACATTTTCTATTCTTTTTTTAATTTTGTTTTTAATATCTTCACATCTGGTCATTGTCCCAGAATAAGCAAACAGCATTGCTGCATAAAGAAATAAGTCTCATGAAGTAATGTACGGTATGTTTCCAAATGTTTCATAAATCCACAGGCAACGTGCAAATACTGCCTGCATTCCTGTGTGAAGGTGGTTGTTTTTCATATAAGTCATGTATTAATGTAATCTGAAAACAAACTTAACCCCATTCAATCACATCCCCTTCCACCTTTACACTGAAACCCAGAGGTTATAATTACACCTGGGAGCAGGAATAAATCAAAACAAATACTCGTGTTGCCTTGTACTCTTTTTTGGAAAGAAAAGTGATCCTATCTACCCTGCCTTATGTGCTTTGTCTAACTCAGAACCAGGATGGCTGCCAGGCAAACAGGCAAAGAGGTTTTCATGAGGTCAGAAATGAAAATAAGGTCATTTCCAGAGGTCAGAAATGGAGTAACGCATCCTATGTCCTAACATGTACCAGATCTTCAGAGGGGGACTTTATCTTCACTACCTCACCTTCTGCCTCCCAGGACATTTGCAGGCTGTGGCACCCCAGGAGCTCTGCGGAACAGAGGGGAGGGAGGATGCAGGGACTTTATGGGTTAGACACTTTCCACTCTTTAGCGAGGATTATTTAAAAAGTACCACATCGTGACAGTCAACACTTCGCAGTGTGGATGTGGAACACCAGAGGTCAGGGCAACAGACTGATGCATCGCTCCAGTGTCTGAGCCCTTTGCTTGCATGGCTCCACACTGTCTTTCGGAGGAGACAAGCCCCTCCCATGGTAACATCCCCTTTCCTCCAAAATCCCTGCTCCAGAAAAAACTTTGTGTTTCCTTTGCTAGGGTTATGGGAGATGGGGCGCTGGTGGTGATCCACACTAACCATAGTACATCCTGGAGGTGCCCAAAGATGCCCACACCAGGGGTTGCCCCGGTGTGCAGACACACACTGCATGAAGCAAGACCAAGGGACTCTGGTATCCTTGTTCTTTCCTCACTGGACTCTCAGTTGAAGCAGAACCACTTGCTCCACCCCAGTTTCTTCTCCAGGATTTCAACAGAGCTGAGAGATTTCAGCTCAGAGTTACAAACAAAAAGCTGCTGGCTAAAAGGCATGCTCCTTTTGGAGAATTCAACAGTAGGGCTTGTGAAAGGCATTTACTATGAAAAGAAATAGAAACAAAAAAAGGGAAAGAGAGAAAGAAAAAGAGAAACTATCGTTGCTTGCTAAAACACAATTGCCTAATGCTTGAACAACTGTAATAACCAGCCAGTGCTGGCAGACTGATGTCTATCCTGACAAACCTTTCTGAAAATTCACATGCAGAAAAAGTGGAAATACTGGTAGGACTTCAGTTATCAGCTTCTCAGGGGACACCACAAATAATAAGCAGTTCCCTCACAAAAGTACCCTAATGGCATCCTAGCTCTACAAAAAATTATGTTTGAAAATTTTTTCTGAAATATAAACTTGCCATGCACAGTCAAAATTAAAAAGAAATATAGGGCATTTTTAAGAGAAACTCCAGGGGGAAAGCAACTGTGAAATAGCCAAACATCAATTATGAAAACCCCAGCAAGAAGAGGCTCTTGTGCACGGGCTTCAGGGTTTAGGGATTTCAAGAAAATGTGCATCCTAGTTTTGACTCACAATGTAGGCACAAAATGAGCAACTCTCCTCAACTTACACAGCGTGGTGAGTATATAACCCTTTAAAGTCACTGTGTCTATACAACTTTCTTGCATCTCCCAGCTCATGGCAATCTTTGCTCTCCACTCCCACATCCCCCACAGCACTGGAGTGACAGGCTTACTCCCATCCTAAGTTAGTGCAGAAGGAACAGGCGATACTACTGTGACATGGGCAAACTTCTGCTGACGTGTGCACCCCAGCCACCCAGTAGCTTGCTCACTGGTGGCATTATCACGATTTCTACTGCAAACCTTCAACCAAAGCCTCCTCCTCCCCTGCTACTTCCCACAGACAACTCTGAACAGGCTGTGGGCAGCACTACTTCCTTCTACCTGAGGGCAGAACACATATGGGAGGAAAGCAAAATGTAAGAAAGTGAACAAAAGCAGAGGGATTTGGGGATGATTCTGCCTGTGAGTCAGGGCTGGATCATTTTCCCAAGCTTAGAGATGATCGTCTCGTTAGTGCATGATTTGGGATTTCCACAGGGCAGGATCCAGGAGAGGGAGCAACCAGAGCAATGAGTACCCAGGGTAAAACCAGGAAATGCCTACCCACAAGACCCACAGAAAAAGCAATGGTGTGATCTTATTCTTCCTTAAAATAACTTGCAAGTCTGTTGGTTTGTGGCATTGCTGTTTAATGGTACAGAGCATTATTACAGAAAAACAGCATAAACCAAACAGTCTTCATAAAGGAAAAAAAAGACATCTTGGTTCATTTGCTTTTTTCCTCCACTCCTGCACTTCTATCTCAAGGGTCACGCATCCTCCTACATGGAATGCCTGGATGCAAGGCTTCACCAAGAATTTTTCCTCTCTGACGGCCAATGGCACCAGGTATTTCCCTGTCTCTTCTTCCAGGAGCAACAGCTGTTTATTATTCCTCATGCCCACTCCCCATGACCAAACAACTACACAGAAAACAGAAAAGGTGAAAGCAAGACTATTTAAAGCTGCAGATCAAGAACGCAAGGCTTAGGAAACCTCAGCTTTATGGTTGCCTGTGCAACCTTCGACCCTCTTTCCTGCCTGTGTACCATGGCAGAGCTGTTAATCACATAATCACAGGCTATTTTTCTACGGGACCTCGGCCTCACCCAGTAGAGCAGGATACACAGTGCTCACCTAGCGAGCACCCAGTCCCTATTTCATTTTCTCAGCACTGTTCGAGGTGTGGCCCCAAGCCTTGTTTACCAGGTACCTGCCACGCTCTGCTCTGCAGATGGAATTAGTAATTTACTCATGGCCTTTCCTACAGTACGCATCACTAGAGTAACTGAATGTCTCACAAACATAAAGGAATGTATTTTCACAATGCCCTCTTAAAGTAAGACACTGTATTATCCGTATGTCATGGGCAGGGAACCAAAGCACAGAGGGATTAATGTGAAAAGCTTCCACTAATTTTAAATGCCTAATTGAAACTCTTAGGTACAAATCCTTCAAAGATTTGTTTTGCCTGTTGAGGATGTGGTGACAACCACTTTTTTAAGCCAAGTTTGGGCTGATGCTCTTGGAGACAGAAGAAATGGTGCCCCCGACATATATACCATTCAAATTACTGAGTTGTTAATGTGGAAGCTTGCTTTCTCATTTCTTTGTACATTTGTTATATTTAACATGCATCAAAAAATTCAAGAGAGGTATAAAAGAGCTGTTTTCTAAATGCACATTCTGAGGTTGGGATGGAAAATTTCTGCCCAGACAGTTTAAGTTTAGTAAAGTTGTGAACAACTAAAAATGAAGGTCTTAAAATAGGGAAGCTGTTGCATGGCCTCAACAGAAGGTCACTGCCATAACATACACCTTTCTTTCTCTTCTCAGTTGAAGAAACGACACAGGTCAATTGCTACACTAACAGAATCAAGTCAAACTGAAATAAATGCAAACCGTAACTAAAGCTTTATTTCTTATCCTGGTTCTGTTCAGGTAAACAAGATCAATTTATTTTTAACCTTAATGCACAACAAAGTCTTGTTATTCAATTCCAAATAGCAGCTTCTGCTTTGAGAATAAGCCCCACCTTTCCTCCTGTTCTCTCGAAAAGAGAAAGCAAGTGTCAGGCACTGAGGCAGCACCGGTCATAAGCTGGATATAGGACAGGCAGATGGACAGTACTCTGAGCTAGTGAATCTTACACTGGTATAAACTGATCCCTCCTCTGATTATTTGCAGGGAGATTCACAAATTCCTAAAAAAAAAAAAAAATAAAAGCCCATCTGAAAATTTCAGGGGGTGATTTATCTTTGCTAACACCAGGAAAGAAAGACAGACAGACAAAAAGACAGACGGTTGGGGGGGCGTGAATAATTCAACCAACTGCTGGTGCCAGCCTTCTTCAGAGCAATAAAGCAATTTTAGAGACACTTTTGTGGGAGCGTAAAATCCAACCCTGCAACTGTCCACCAAGTGTGTGCAGGACTCGGGACACACACACATGACACTGGACGACACTGTGAGACCATGTGGGAGCTGGCAGAATTGGTTCCTCCATCACCTTGGGAACACGCAAGGACAACCCTGGGATAACTCCCGACAGCTCCTCTTTGCCACCCAAGCTGTATTCCTGGCAAATGATGAACTGTTCTGCCCCTAAACACATTCCACATCCACAGAGAGAGGAACACAGACCCAGTTTCTCTGTCCTGCACTGAAAACTCGCACTGTATATCCCTGTTTTTCAGCAGTGATGTCTCCTGACTGCACTAACATTAACTAATTTAGTATTTTTAATTACAGAGGGATTTAAAGCACTGCACTACAGTGCTCTCTTTTATTATACCCACTGTTTCTGCTGAATCTGGGTACACTCTACATACAAAGTTGCACATTAGACAAATTACACTGTACATTAAGTAAATCTCTCTCTAGAAACAGGATTAGATGGAGAGGCAAATCTTCCTCATTCCTAGTGCATAAATTAATATCTACAAAATCAATATGAAATAAGAGCTCCACATCAATTAATGAAAGAAAAATAGTTTAAACGTACTCCACAATGAAACAAATTTATGTAGGAGATGCATTCCTTTTCTGCTATTTTGCTTAATAAATAAAACAGCTGGTCCGAGGAATCAGGTCAATCAGTGTCTGGAAAAAGCCCCATTAAAGCTGCTATATAACCTAGTTTCTCAAGCTGTGTAAGGCATCCTAATATTGGAGAGGCAGAAGTCCATGCAGAGACAGTTCGGATGGCTCAGCTCCTAGCCCTTCGGGGTCATGGAGGATATTTATCACAGAAGACAGCAGTAAGTGAGGTATCTCGCCAAGATCTAAGGAGATAGGCTCTGAAGGAGCACAACAGAGACAACGCAATGCATCCAGACCTATACATAAAATAAGGCTAGTAATCCTGGGCACCCAAGATGAGGTCATCCAGCATAAGGAGATGGTAAAGGACCAGATTTTCACATATGCTCAGATCCCCTCAAAGCTAGCCTAGCCCTGCTGCCACAGTAGGTGATAACACCTCTTCTCATGGCACTCAGTGGCTATGTGGTTCCATCCCTGCCATGACATGTGGGAGGATGAATCTGGCAGTACCCAAAGCCACGGGTGTGCTGTGTGGGCACAGAGCCTATTCCAGTGCAGGCAGAAACCTCCATCACCAGTCCTCCTCCTCCCGCACAGCACACAGCTATTATCACGACATCCAGGCCCTGGTCACCTCAGAAAATGTAGCCCTTCCTATCTTCAGTAGGTTTAAAAATATTTTGCAAAGGGTATCACAATCCACATCCTACAGAGATAAAAATGGACCCAGAAGACAGCCAAGTGACTTGCTCAAGCCTAAAGAGCAAGGCAGCAATGAAATTGGGAAATGAAACCTCCTGGCTCACAGCCCTAGGTTTTAGCTTCTTAAATAAAGATTCTCTTTCCTCATTAAAAAACTAAAAACGGGAAGAAGGAATATTCTGTATACAGAATGAACTTCACCCTCAGAGGGCTAATGACCTGATATACTTTTTTTTCCTTCTCACCTCCATTTCCCCTGATAAAGTTACAGTAACTTCAAGGACTATCCTTCTTTACTGGTCTACTTTAACCTAGCATGTCGGCTCAACATCCTTTTCCCAACCATCTGAAGCCAGAGACCATCCTTCCCAGAGAGGAGATTACCTTCTCGCTTTCAGTCTCTCTGGACATCCTTGCAACATCCTGGACTGAGACTACTCTGCTTTCTGCATCATGCTGAGGGACTCCAAAGTCCTATCCAGTGGTCTCAGCCTGCAGTACATGGCAGCCTGAAAGGGTACCCTGGAGGTAAAACCTGGTTGTTCTCTATTAATTTTTCATTTCAAGAATAGCTCCAGGGAAAGGAGGGAGATATAGGTCAGAGACTTTGGGGGCTGATTAGTAACTCTGTACATCTTCCTTCCTTTTTTTTCCTCACTTTTTTTTTTTTTATCTTCCAAATTCAGAAACAGAGGGTTTTCCCTGTGTATTTCTCATTTACTCCTTGAACATCATCGGCATTAGTCAGCAAACTCCTGCTATTTCCTCCGCAAGCCCCTGATACTTGCAGAGTGACTAACCCACTCTCCACACACGCTCTGGCTCCAGTAGTTGCATCTGGGTTGTTTCCTCAAGAAAAATGGGTCTCCACGTTGCACACGTGCAGTTCTCCCTGTGGTCAGAGCCACATAGGCTCCTGCTGCCACGTGGCTGCAAACACCGCGATTTTTTACACACAGACTTGAAGAGCCAGGAGGTGATGGCAGGGCCTGCTTTCAGGTCACTTCTTAACTCATCATCACAGCAGCAGTGTCCCTCAAACTGGGAAGCGGTTAGCTACTGCCCCAAGCACAGGCATGTGGAGAACATAATGGAGAAAGCCTCAAGCCACCTGGCTTCTCTTCGCAGCCCTGCCAGTAACCTGGTCTGTCGGGTCACATTGCCTTCAGGGGTCTGCATTAGCCTCTCCTTCCCAGGACCAAGAGCCTCTGCCCTTGTCAAGCGATCTGCAGAAGGCCTCAGCTGGGCTTCTGAGGCACAAATGCCGGGTGAGTGAAAACACAGCTCCTCATGACTCAATGCCGCCACATCAGAGCATGACAGAAGGCTCGTCCTGGCCAGGTGGCCTTTCACAAGATGCCCACTCACAGCCA